TAACTAATAGATCAGCCAAAACTAGATTCACCAAAATATCTAACAAAATCAAAGATCACATTACAATGCGAAGCCAAGATCAAACTACTCAAGAAACAAGATTAAGCCAAAATGATCTCCTAATTTCTGAATGTTCTGAACTTGGTTCGGACAATTCAGAGTACTAAAATTGAATCTTTTACAATGGAACGATCAGCAAATCTCAACCCGGCCACCAACACCATGGTCAGCAATAACAATAAACTTAAATATAAACTCTCATTGTGCCACCTTAATTCTCGTTCACTAATATCTACATTCCATTATTTCTCTGATTTAGTAACAGACTGCAATTTTGATATAATAGCGGTTTCTGAAACATGGTTAAAACCTACCATCTCCTCGGCCTCAGTACAATTACCGGGATATGATTTACTTCGAGCAGATAGACCCACTAAAGGCGGAGGTTTATGCTTCTACATTAAATCACACCTAAAATTGAAAATTATTAACTTAGACTTCTTACCAGATAATGAGAATAGCATTGAGCAACTTTGGATTTCTATCACGATAAATAAAATAAAGGTTGCAGTTGGAGTCGTATACAAACCACCGAACGTATCTACGACACATCTCAATGAATTAGAACTTACGTTATCTCACTTAACTTTGGAGTCGAATGAGATTATTCTACTAGGTGATATCAATGTGGATTTTTTAACAAATAACAACAGTTTAAAATACCTTAATAACATTCTCGAGATTTATAACCTACATCAAATTATTAGCGATCCTACGCGAATTACAAATACATCTTCAACATTAATTGATGTTATTTGTGTGAACAAAACACGAAAGGTCCTTAACAGTGGTACGATGGATGCTGAAAATATTTCCGACCATCGATTGGTGCATTGTACAATTGATCTTGATGTCGAAAAACCAACAAATAGGAAACTCATTATGAAAGATTTTAGAAACTTTATTCCTGAAGAATTTGAATATGACGCTGCTCGCATCTGCTGGAATCATGTATATAACCTATCAGATATTGATACCAAGCTAAATTTTTTTAATAACGCAATTCTTGCTGTTTATGATATTCATGCACCTCTACGTACAATTCATTTACGAAATAAGAGTCCCAAACCCTATATTACTGATACGATAAAAGCAATCATTCGTTTAAAAAGGAAAGCATTCACAAAATTTCGTAAATCAGGCGCTCAACAAGATAAGCTATATTACAAAGATCTTAGCAACTACCTATCATTTGCAATAAGACAGGAGAAAACGGCGTACATTAACACCCAACTACGTATCAATAAAGGCAACCCCAAGAAGATCTGGAGTTTATTTTCATCTTGGAACATCCATAATAAAAAACAAAATGTTATCGATCCCATCTTGCTTGCTCCCAATCTAATAAACAATTTTTTTGCAAACATGCCCATTGCTGAAATAAATAGAGAAACTGCTCTGCCTTTTTATAATAAGAATATTCGACCAGGAATAGAGCAAGCGATGATATTTTCCGAAGTTACCAATGAGGATATTACAATAGCACTGAACAAAATAAAATCGAATGCTATCGGCGTTGATAATATAAGCTTGAAAATGCTACATTTAATTTACCCCTTTTGCAAAGAAGCCCTCCGACACATAATCAATTTCTCATTAAAGACTGGCACATTTCCAAGTTTGTGGAAGACATCATATATTCGTCCTCTCTCGAAAGTTTCTAGATTAGACTACAGCAAGGCATTTGACTGCATTAACTTTGAACTACTACTTGCAAAACTGAAATACTACAATTGTAGCGACAAAGTGATAACTTGGTTTTATAATTACCTACATAATCGAAATCAACGAGTGAAAATTGACTCAGTCCTATCTGATGTGTTGCCGGTTAACCAAGGGGTGCCGCAAGGGAGTATTCTTGGACCCATTTTATACATCATTTTTACTGCGGATCTACCCTACCACACGACATCTGAAATAAGCCTGCATCTCTATGCCGACGATACACAAATGTATATCAGCTGTAATCCTTTATGTATTAATGAAGCTATTGATAAACTAAATACTAATTTACAACGTATATCTCAATGGTCAAAAGATAACGGTCTATTAATTAATGCATCTAAAACAGAGGCGGTATGCATAGGTTCCAACGCTGTGCGTGCTCTAGCCCTTTCAACTCTGTGCAACAAAATTAAATTAAACGACAGTGAAGTGCCACTATCGGAAGAAGTTAAAAGCCTTGGTGTAGTGATTGACTGTAACCTTTCTTTTAAATCTTTTGTGCGGAAGAAAATATCTGTCTGCTACGCAAAATTTAAAGTGTTATTTCAATTTAAACGCATCTTACCATCTAGCACTAAATGGCATATTGTAAATAGTTTATTACTTAGTCATGTAGACTACTGTTCTGCTGTATACTACAACTATATAACAAATGAATACAAGCACAAACTTCAGGTTCTCCAAAACAACTGTTTTAGATTCTCATTTAATGTAAATCGGAGGGACCATGTCACACCACAGTATAATGTACAAAAGTTACTTAAATTAGATTTCAGATTTTCTCTTTTATACTCTAGCTTGCTCTATAATATTGTAACTTGTAAGTGCCCATATTATCTGTCTACATTGCTTACTCAAACACACTCGGTACACAAAAAAACCTTAGATATGCTGATTCTTATTGTATTCCACCCCACAAAAGTAGTAAATTCCAATGTGGATTTCAGTATATAGCTTGTAAACTCCTAAATAACTTCAGAATAATTTATCGAAATTGTACTTCTGTGAAGAGCTTCAAAAAGCAGTTAAAGTTAAAATTGTTAAACAATCAAGCCAATATCTGAGTAGTCAGAATATATACTCCTTTTTCTCTTTCTTTTTTTGCACTTAAATTTCATTCATTTATAGTAAGTATACTTAATCTTACATATAGTTGCTTCATATTTTTGGTAGGGTTGAAAAACGGTTAGTACCGATACCTCGCCTCTTAGATAAGAATTTCTTTGTAAATATTATCTAATAAAGTATAAATAAATAAAAAATACGAGGTATTCAAGAACTCTATTAATTACATTCCCAAATTAAAATACACTGATTAGTTTTATTAAAATCAGTCTTTGCGTCCTACAAAAGGAATATTGTTATCCCTACTTGTACGTTACGACACTGGCAGGCGTGCTTGGTGAAAAATGGTAACAGTTTTATTGAAAGTATTTCCTGTCCTCTTTCTTTCCTTGTCTAAAGATCTTTAAGCAACTATAATAATGATTTTTTTAATTTCCTAACGTCATAAATGCTCACATTTTTCAGTATAGTAGGATTCATTATGACAAGGACTTTGCGGCTATTTCTTTTGGTTAAGGAAACTTTGTTGTAGGTGAAAAGCGACAGTTCTAATTCTAATCGCTAATCTTTGTCTTGAGTGTTGGACTGCTACCTTTAAAAGTGCCATAAATAATGCACTTTCGAATCTCATTGTTATTTAACCCAAGTACATCGTTAGATACAATTTAGTGCTGCAGGCTGGACACTTTCAAATAGTAATCTAGTGACGCTAAATTAATAGGTACATACTAATATTAAATTATAATTGTTAACGTAGATCAAAGACCATCAATCACGCGCAGGTCAAAATCTGGAACGTATTGCATAATCGTAATAATTTAAAGGGAACATTTTTGACAAATTCATCTGGTAACCCGAAGTGCCGACTAAAAATAGTTCACGCTCATTTCATGTACAAACTTCATAGAGTAGGTATGTAAGTAAATATTGTAAATACAGATCGTCATCTGCCAACTTTCTACTCGTAACTGTTATAATTGGACAGTAGTGAATTACTATTTCATTTCCGAGACCCCTAAATAACGAGCAGGGCATTACCTTGGATGACATATTGTAGGTTTCAAAGATTTCGTTACAAAATTAATCATTCTTTGTTAAACCAAAAAATCTCTTAACAAGATTATTGTTTCATACGAAGATAATATCATTATGTGTGGTTTTAGAGGCGAACCCACTCGAAAAAATTATCAAAAAAGAAGAAATAACGCGCTTTCACATGAACTTCTTGGCGGACAAGATTAATTTTTTTAGCCAACGCAGTTTCGTGAATCATACCAACGCATCTGAAATACCTTTTTTTATACCTAGAACGCCGAGATGGAAAATAACAATCAATTAGGAAATAATCATCTCATCATTCACTTTCTGATATATATTATTTGCATATTTTTACTGACACAAAATTAGTTATAACAAGCAAATATATGATGAAACATTAATATTGTCTACTATGTTACAATATTAATAGTAGTTAGTTTAAAACGGCCTTTTGATTAATACGAACAAATTAATAAAATCCTTACAGGAAATGTTTCTACGACCACAAGTCAAATATTTACATAAAATGAACAATTGGGTATCCGGGTATCCATATAGTCAAATTGCTTTCATTAATCAAGTTCAGTAATTTTTCATTTTTTCCCTCATTAATACGTGCGCGAAAAAACGATTAGGTTTTGAATTTAAAATTTGACATTTTATGAATTATTTTGTCTGGTAGGGCAAGGATCCACTCGTACTGATTAATCCATCGACGTTTCTATTTTCGCGTTTGAGTTTTGGTAAATAAGAGGCTGTTACGATTTTATTATTGGATTCTTAAGCAATTTCTAATTAATCACAAATTTGTGAATTATAAAAATTTCATCTCACGAATGCAACCTCTTTACCTACTGAAGGCTAGGTACAATTTAAAAATTTGATAACGTGTGTAATTCTAAATTCCATCAATTGGGTAGATTAGTAGGTATGCGAATAACGTATACCCTTACTAGTATTCGGTTTACCCCGAAGTGGCCATAAGTTTTAATGTAGGTGGGTATATTAGGATCGATAGACACTTTTATACCTGTTTCGTTGTTTTCGATCATTTATCCGAAGTTAGTCAGTAAAATAAATAATAAATTTAACGTCAACATACAATTGAATGTTTTTATTCAACCGAAACTATTGTAGTAAAAATATATACCCTGGTGAGCCACTATGGTCACATTTTGAAAAAATTGATTCAACGATAATAAATTTGAATTTTGATCATTTCAAAATTGTAAAAATAAGCAAAATTTTGTTGTAATGAGAATAAATTTAAAAAAATGTTGGTCAACTAGATTAAATAATTAAATTGAATTGTTTTTCGACCAACCTCATATAAACAAACAACGTATCGGATGTAAACTTTTTTGTAGAATCCAGAAATGTAAAAATATACGAAAATACACTTAGTATACCTAAATTTTGGGTTATTTAGGAAAATTTAGGAATTCAATTCTTTGTTTCTTAAACATCGTTAAAAATGTTTATATGTATAGCGCCACTTACTGTAGTGAAACTAGTTCGGTTTACGCAAGGTGATAGCATGTAAGATATTTGTAATTATTTAATAATATTTCTGATAAATATGATTAATATGCCATGAAGAGAACAAAAACAAAAATTTCCAAAGATGCGGAGAATCACACGGTGCCAATTTAAATTGCAGTGGTTGGTTAGCAACTTTGGTTTTCCATTGGGACCGTGAAGTCAATAAACAGAATAGTGCTAATTTGTTGCCTAGGATTAAATTCTGGGATGTCGACCGAAGTTAAGACCAGCTTTGACGATTACCAATACTATCGGGTTTTGTACAATTAATTAAACATTATGTAGTAACAAATTAAGGAACATTTTTCTTTTAAACAGGGAGCCTGATGATAACGTTTTAAACTCAGGTGGTATGTTATTATAAATTTAAAAATTTGATAGGTTCGTTTAAATAAACCCCTAAAGTGGATCTTAAAAAAATGGGCAGAGCACCTCGGTTTGACCCTACGGGATCATTGGATTTGATCCATTTTCAATAGGATTGTTACATGTGGTCAAAAGTGCAAAGTTTGAACTGAATAGGTTCAAGCGTTTGCAAGAGACAAAGAGGTGTGACCCCACGGGGTCATTGGATTTGACTCATTTTCAATAGGCTTGTTACATGTGGCATGTAGATCAACTGTGCAAAGTCTGAACCGAATCGGTCCAAGCGTTTGGTAGTTATCGTATTCACGGGACTGACAGACGGACACCAGCCTTTCGCTTTGCTCTGACACTTAATAAAGCAGTGGAGTGTTTAGGAGGAGAACCACAGAATCTTAAAATTAAATTGTGAACGTCCGTTCGAAAACGGATTTTGTTATACCTAGAGATACGCCGGTTGCTTATTTAAGAGCACTTCTTATGAATGACATAGTGTTTTCTTCTGTTATTCATGTATAGCCAGTTCAGATCGCCCAACTTTTGGGAGATGCGCTCAAACTTGCGTATGCCAAATATCAAGTGCATAATGCTTCTCTTATGTAAGTGTTAGTTTTGTGTACTATATCTGAACGACTTATCAATATAGGGGCCAAAGTTTTTACTTGAGTTTGAAAAGGTATGGTCGTCTCATGCAAAGTAAAGTTGATTTTATCTTTTATTTAATTAATTTTGTCTTCATTCCCAAAAACCATAATTGAAGATTTTGGTGGGTTTATGAATAATGAGTGCATAAGTGAAAATGATTCAATGGAGCGGAGGTCTTCATTTATTTTACGAGTAGCTGTGAAATACTCCCCTACGCGAAATGAATATACCATTTGTGTACCATCGGCAAACTTCTTCAATTTGCAATTTGTTAAACTGTCGAGTATATATTGTAACAAAGAGTACTCTTTGATTGTAAACATCAGGGGGCCCAAACTAGACCCCTGCGGGACCCCTTTTGAAGCTGATAAAAAAACTGATTGAGCCGCTTTAATTTTTACAGACTGACCCCGTCCAGTCAAGTAACTATGAGACAATTTCACTGCTTCACATGACAATACAAGGCTTTCCGGAATATAGAGAGAAGAATGCCGCAATTGACAATAGACAAGCTATACTCATATGGCATTAGAGGCGTGACGCTAAATTTATTGAGATCCTTTATTAGTGATAGGTCACAATATGTTGCAGTTGTGCAACTTTCTTCCTCGGGACAAATTATTGAAGTTGCATCCGAATTAAAACCAGTCAAGTATGGTGTACCCCAAGGATCTATCCTTGGTCCTATATTATTTATAATCTGTATTAATGACCTATTTAACTGCTTCGATCCATCTTCATGTGATATCACCACATATGCAGATGACACTAGTGTGAGCGTGGCTTGTGTTGAAGAAGAGTTAGAAATTAATTTAAAACGTGCGTTATCAACTCTTATTAATTGGTTTAATGCAAATAAACTTTTACTCAATTTGGAAAAAACAAAAATTCTTCTTTATAAGAAAAATATGGGTTTGGATATCGCTCCACTGCGTTACCAGTCAGTTCAATTAGAAAGGTGTCAATCCTGTACCTTCTTAGGAGTTATTATAGACACAGAACTTAGTTGGAAAGATCACATTGACCATCTGAGAGCAAAATTACATTCATCGATTTTCGCATTGTCCCGTTGTAAAAATTTATGTGACCATAAAACCCTTTTGCAAATCTACTATTCAATATTTGAAAGTAAGGTGCGGTACGGTATCTCATTATGGGGAAATGCTACTAGTCATAGAATTGCTAGCATATTTAAGGTTCAAAAAAGAGCAATCAGGGTAATGTTTTCGCTACAGAAACGGGAATCCTGCAAACCGTATTTTAAAAACTTTCAGATTGCAACCGTCTATTCATTATATGTGCTTGAATGTTTATGTTTCGTGTTCAAAAACAAAAAATTATTTTCATTAAATTGTGATAACCACTCATATAATACGAGAACGAAAAATAACTTTTCTATAATGAGATCAAAAAGTAAGGTGCATAACTCGTCCTACCTACAGATGGGGGTGAGATTTTATAATGCCCTTCCGGCACATGTCAAATGTATTACAATGTTGGCTCCTTTTAAAAACCAAATTAGAAAAATTCTTCAATCAATGGTGCTATACACACTGGATGATTTCTTTACGAATATCAAAAATGCTAGTCATATTTAAAAAAAAAAAATATACATATATATAAATAAATTTTAATATATATACCTATTTACATTTCTTTTTTATAGATATATTTATATTATTTATTGTACTTTATTGTGTTTTTTATTTATGTTGTTATTGTGTGACAGTTACACCACATTCGTGGTTGAAATAAATTCTCTCTCTCTCTCTCTGATAGTGCCGAAGGCCTTGATATAGTCTTAACAGTGCCAAGACAGAGATAAGTTTGGAGTCAGTAGCAGTAATAATGTCATCGACAGTATTGAACAAAGCTGTGGCTATAATTCCCCCTAAAACCGGATTGGTGATCAGGAATTATATGTTTTGCGTCAACGTATGCTCATTAATTATTTTTTCTATTAC